CACTGCCTTTACTACTTTAGTTTACTCTTTTTTAGGATGGTACTTCATAAAACATCACACTGTATAAGGACAGTAAGTGGAAATCTGCAATACGTGTCTCTTGTGCTCCCATGGACAGAGAAAACTGTAACAGGACTGTAACAGAGAAAACTTTTACAAATCTAGAGTGGAATACCTAATGCACCTGCAGAATCTTTGAACTAAACATTTGCAGAGCCTATCCTCAAAGGAAATGTCTTTTCTCTTCCTTACTTTAATAGCAGTGAGATCCAAGATCAAGTCAACAGAAGATGGCTCCTTCTTAGTTCCAATTAGCACTATTCGTAAAGGGGCTGGGAAGGTGACATAACGCCATTTGCAGTACACAATGCTGTTTGACACTGTTGTGTAAAACTGGTAGGCAGGCCGGCATCAACCACCTATCTGAAATAAATGCACAAAGGAGGCTGGGCAGAAAGTGGACTCCAATTTGCAGTGCTAATCCTCGTTTGTGTCAGGTGTCACCAAGGACCAGGAGTTAATTAATCCAACTTTGTTAATTACTGCACAGGCTGTCTGTGGAAGGGGAAACTGTAAAGAAGAAACCGGCATCCCTCTCTCCTGCACTAAGAACCCAAGTCACGTTCTTCTCTGTGTGCCAAGATTCATGTGATTGAAACAGACGTCCCCTCCCTCAGCCCATCGCAATAAGGCTGTAATAAAGTTAATTGTGGTAATTATAATTGGAGAGCTCCTTCTGTCCAGAAGAACAGAGTATGCAGACACTGTTTCACACTGCAGCTCTGCACGCAAGGTGAGGGGGGGGTTGGGGGGGGGCAGCAGTTTAAGCATTTAGAAACTTGTATGAAGGATGGTGCATTTTCATGTACAGCTCAGAAGTATTGCCAGCTAAAAAATACATGAGCACTTGACTCATTTCCTTCTCCTTAGTGAAATAGTGTACTATTGATCCGACTGCCAAAACTCATGACATGACTGATAATATGAGCAGAAGCTTTTCTCCCCCAATATTTAGGACATATTATATAGCAGGAGTCTGTGGTAATAATGTAGAAGACTGTAAAGGGTCCAGGATTGTGCCAAAAGATAAACCTGTGCCTTCAGATTTTATTCTAATGATGTGATTATATAACACTATAGCGGTTTTACAGAGATCACAGTAGAAAACTGAAAGAAGCACCCTTCAAAAAAATGCATCAGTTTTTGTTCCCATAGTTCTCCCCCCACCTGTGGTTTAAACATATCATTTCTACAGGATCTGCATCAAGATCTATGATCACTTGGATGATCTGCCATGTGTGCCCCCCCTCAGTTGTTACTTTGCAGTAGGTCTTGTAATGTCTTACCAAATATTGCCCAAACGTCTCCATACAAAGTAGATTCCATTAGAAAAGGTCGACGGAATCCGTCAGTTGATACAGATTCTTTAAAAAAAGTGTAAAACTGGTCAAAAGGTTATTGATTACAAAGAATTAAGCAAGTCGTCAAGGGCTGTGACAGCTCTCCTGTAAATGCTGTCATGATCTCAAATGCAATTGACTGTCCCCGTGATCTTGCTTTTAGTAATGTGGCCAAAGTTATTTCATCGACTAGAGTTGACATGTCCTGGAACACTAAAGAGTAGAATATCCATGCCACTATGCCTCATGTAAATTTACATCTTCTTTCTTTATATTTCCTCTAATATGGTTTTAAACCTTTTTGATTTTCCATGCAATAGCACTGGTTAGCTACTGTCAAGCTACAAGGCTTTAATAAAGATGGGAAACAGTCTGGAAGATTAAGGATTGGGGTCTGTGTAACTGGGTTTAATTGCCTTTATTCCATGCTGCCCGCATACACTGTACCCTCCCTCTCTCTTTATTACAGGGGCTCTGGGGGCTAAAAGGCAATCGGAGAGTCACAGGCTTCAATGCAGTGATCCCTAGGCTTCAGACCAGCTGCCCACAGTGAGACGTGCCTGCCTGATGGCTCAATTATCATTGTGGCTGACCTTGCGCTCAGTTCCCCATCCAAACAGCCAGGACTGAGGTCTTTGAGGACCTCACATTGATCAGTGAGATGTAGTGGACTGAAAGGAGTAAATTACTGACCAATCTCTGCCAGAGACGGGATGAGACAGCCAATTAAATTTTAGGTCACAGACAGGCATGCCTCATTATGAAATTTGCCACCAAGCACAGCATGGCTGCACAATATGTTTATTCAGGTGGTGTTTTCCAAGAGGAGTTTAGCACATCGCTGGCTAAATGATAAGCACTTATAAGTGAAGAACACCTGCAAGACACTTTATTGATTATTCTGCAGATTGTATGAAGGAAAATAAAAGGTCGATTCACCTGGTGAGAAAGCCAAATGCACAGACCAAAGCCAAAGGATTTTGAGGCACACAGTCTTAACTTGAATACACTGAACATTCAGACCCAGTCCTGAAAACACTAAATACGGTCACTGATAACTGTAACTGTAATAACTGTAAGTAGTGACAAACTATATTTTGTTTTTCCCCCTATATATGTATAGAGATTTCACCCGGGCTGTCTACCAGCTAATATCCTTGCTGTATGGCCATCAAGATCATATCAAATTATTCAGCAAGCAACAAATGAAGAGCTAGTGAGCGCTCTAGAGCGGGGTGCTATTTCAGGGGTTCCCCTGCCCCCTCCCCCCCCCCGTTTGAGAAGCCTGTGCTGGTTTGAAGAGCATTAAGCCCTGCTGCTCGAGAGAGATAAAGCCATAAAAAAAACAACCTTCCCTCTAAGTCAGTGGCAGCCAGAAAGTCCGCATCCCTCCCTCCCTCCCTTTATCACAATGACAGCTTCTGTCCAGAAGGGAAGCGAGCTTGCCTCACCAAGCACGGGCCGAGGGCACAGCGGGCGCCCTGATCCCACTTGCCCACCTCCAGTTGGCCCTCCGTCCACACGCAGCCCGGGGGAAACAGGCCGGGCGGGGAGCCACAGACACAGCCAGGCAATTCTGGATTGTATTGACTCTTCGTGACCAGGCCTGCTCATTGAGCACGTGCTTGGACTGACGTTGGCCATAAAGGGCAGGAAACAGAGGCATGGCACCCAGGGGAAGCTCATCACAGGAGGAGCAGTTACTCAAGAAAAGCCCTTAAAGCAGGAACTGCTTCAGAACACTGGGGTTCTCTGCACTGCAACTTACAAATTGAAGGATCTGGCCGTTTTGAAGCTGGAGAAATATGGAAGAATATGAAAGCCCCCCACCCTCCAGACCAGGTGCAACAGTGAACCAATTTTTTTTGCAGTACAGCAAAGGTAGCCGGAGGACTGTCTCGATGTTTTTTTTTTAAATCCAGAGCAGTGGGAACTCAATTTGTCAATGCAACTACTACAGCGCGCAGAAAGAGAGCTAGAGGAAACAGAAAAGGGAAAACTAGACATTTCGCTGCATAAAAAAAAACAGCTGTGAATTTGTTTACTTGTCTAATTTATTTATTTACCTGTCTACAAGTTTGCCCATCCGTGAAACAATGTAATGCACAGATGAGTGGTGCTAAAATCCTTGCTGGCTGCACGTATTAGGATGCTAACACACACTTTATATTGCTTCATTTTTTCCTCTTTGTTTTTCATTGCAAAACGTAACAAAACCCTCTTGAAATTAAGATTCCCAACTGCAAACAATATCATTAAGTCTGGTAAATCCTGGCAAAGGCCATAGCAAGCCAGAAGCCATTGCATAATCACAGGGTGGAAGGTGGGCCTGAGATCCTTTGAGTGCTCTCTCCCTGGAGGGAATGCCAATCAACCACAAATTAATTATATTATTAATAATTAAATTGACCCACTCTAGAGAGAATGCCTTTCAGAAGCAGGAAAAAAATGGAACACTTGGAGAACACCAACACAAGCACTAACACAGACACCAGAGGCCAGAATCCAGTCCAAGACCCTGGAACTGTGAAACAGTAGAAATACCGGCCACACCCCCGTGTCACTGCATAAGAGGCTGACTTTTCCAGCTAAATAAATCCACAAAAAAGCCGTGACATGACAAAGGGAATTGGATGTTCCACCTGAAATCAGGTGAGGTAAAGGCAAGAATCCCAAAAGTTGATTACCTTTCCAAATCCTTTCTTAAAAAAAGCCAAGTCTTTCTGCATATGGATGAACTACTAATAGAAAAGATTGTTGTGTAACCCGCATGTTCTGCAAAAAGATATTTAACAACCCCTTCACAAAAGGATTGCTCTACGGTGGATAATGGGGCTAACTTAAGGTTCCTCTGTGTGAATCAACAAGTAAAGGCCAGCAAACCTCCAAAAATAAAATAACACCTATCACTTCATACAGTGCCTTGCAAAAGTATTGAGCCCCTTGACCAATTCTCTCATTTTACTGAATTACATTGAAATTTTGTTCTCTGCGATAGTTTTATTTCTAAGTACTGAAACTCAAAATTAATTATTTTAATGTGACACTGTTCTATGTTAGAAAACATTCTTAAGAAAAACAAAAAACTGAACTATGCGGTTTGCATAAGTATTCAACCCCTGTGTTGCAGAAGCTCTGTTTACACAGGTGAAAAACAACTGCCTTACAATTGGCCTCTACCTGTGAATCATTAAAATAACTGCCACAAGGACTCTAGTGCCTAGATGAAGACGTTTCTCTCCCATACCCTCTGTTATTAAAGGAGTATAAAGGCTTGGATTTCTAGATTCAGAGACAGTTTCTTCCCACAAGCCGTCAGATTATTGAACTCTTCCCCTACTGCTACTGGCTCACACTGATGTTATTTTTCTCTTCTCACACTACCCGTCTCACTTTTTGTTTTAGGTTGTATATTATTTAACTTGCTTCTGCTATTCTGTGTTAATTTTTATAGTGATTCCTTCATGTCTTTATTATTGGAGCACACTTGCAAATAAGCATTTCACTGCATGCGTGCATTTGCCTAATAGGCCGAACTGAAGGATGGCAGTGGTAGAGGACAGGGGAAGGTACAAGATGTTTGGGAGTGCTGTGGCCTACCTTTGTGGTTGAGGGTTCTGAGACTCTGCTTGCTCTGAATGTCCCACAGTCTCACCGTCTCGTCATGGGAGCCAGAAAGCAGCAGTGTGCCATCCATAGACACCGAGAGGCAAGTCACCAGGTTCCTGGGCCGCAGGGAGGATAAGGAGGAGATGAGAGCTACAATAAATTGCGTGCACATCATAAACCACTCTCAAGAACATAAGAATGGTTACAAGTGAGAAGACCCCATTTGGCAGCTAGTAGCTCACTGATCCAAGGATTTCATTTTTTCCATTTTTAAAAGCTACTGGCTTCAATAAGACGGTTATAGCATGCTCCAGACTCCCACAACTCAAATCTGAAATCTGAGAAAATTCTCCTGCACCACAATCCGATAAGGGCCATTGATCACAAATGGCTTCCAAAGACAATCATCTGGCGCGATGCACAGTGAGCATGTTCATAACAAAAATGAAAATGTCATTTCCAGGACAACTGGAATTGTGCACCAAATGTCTTCTGAATCTTTCCAGACCTGAGTGCCTGCGAGATTGGCCTTGCTTATCTCTGTCTCTAGGTAACACCATGTGGCTTCTACATCTTTAAGGTCTTTCAAGATTGTTAAGGCTCCAGCTAACACCTCAGTTTCTAAATATCTTTTGAGGTTTATCAGGAGACTGTTTTGAAGTGTTTTCTACCTGGAAAAAGGTTAATGCACAAAAATGAAAAGAGCTCAACTTTCTACACAGTCTTCAGTGCCTGTCACAACCAAGTGAAGTTAACAGGGATTTTGTCTGGATATGTTATCCCTGTGAAACAGTCACCATAAGCAATGCATTAACTGTCAGCTCCTTTTGCTGCAATCAGTCCTGCTATAAGCCTGAGGTAAAGGAATGGCTGACAATGTACCTGTGTCCTTTGAAAACTTGATTCCCCTCAGAGTCAGGCTGAAAAGCCTTGTCTCTACTGAGATTCTGCAAAACAAGCACAAAAAAGTGTGAAAGAAACAAAATCTCCCAACAGCCAAGTAAATACAGATGAAAAAAAAAAGATAACTAACTCCAATAACACTTAGTTTATTTAAACCCTGTACATTTTGATAACTATTTCCTGAGAATACATAATTAGGCATGACAAGACAACTTAAAATTTTACAAAAGCCTAGAAAACACATAGATTTCTTTAGCTTCTAAATACCAACCAAGTGTTATTTGAGGACAGGGGGAAAAGCACTTCTAAGTTTCAACCAGGCACATGAGACGCTGAAGTAGGCAAAAAAGGGTTTTAAAGTTAAAAGCAGTAGTTTGGAATAGCACCAACCCAGATTAAATATTATTTGATAACAAATGCACTAAAATGAAATGACTGCAAGGAAAGGAAGAAAAGCTGAATTAATACAGCAATGAAAAAAAAATCTGCTGTATTAGCTTGTCATAATATTAAACAGCAAATCCTTCTAGGGCCAGAAAAACATTTAGCAAAGAAACTGTCCTTTTAAGGATGTCTTGACTGGATTACTTTTTTAACTGAAAGCCTCGAAGACAATCGGTCTCCATCTGTCAGCAGAAAGCAATAGAATATTGCTTCCAACACTTTCTCCATAACATTCCCGATAAACCGACAACTGCAGCGAATTGTGTCAGGCAACAATATTCCATACTTTAAAAACTATTCCCTGCTGCATGCTGTTGGAATTCACTGAAAAAATGCCTAATATATAATAAGTATACATATATACAGTAAGTACAATAAGTGCTGAGCCAATCTTTAGCATATATACTTGCAGTGCCTTGCAAAAGAATCCACTGCCCATTTTGTTGAAGCATATATTTCAAGTTACTCAATGTATTCACCCCATTTGCTATAATAAACTTAAATTAAGTCAGGTGCATAAAATTACTTTGATGAGCCAGAGGCCATTCAGGTAACGTATGATGGCCCAGCCATGAACTGGGCTTGACAGTCGTGGATGACGCTCAGATTCACCTGCACACTAAACCCAATTCTGTTTCAGGTTCTGCACTTTATTCTATGTCTCATCCTAAGATATGGTACACGAGTATCTTATGATAGACAGCTGCTGGACTGAGGTTACAGGACTCACTTAACTGTGCTCCTAACAGTAGATCCTTACTCTTCCTAACTGACACTGAAATATTGCTACATGTTTATGAAGATCAGAATACTGTAACAACTTGTTGGAGTTTCTAGTTAAGAAACTTGGGTATGTCTAATTCAGGTACTGAATATAACTACTCTGTCTCAACACTTAACTCTTGTTCTGTGTATATTGCTTTGAATACGTATGCATTTTAAAGACTGGCACTGATCTGTTGAGTTCTAGGTTCCGTTAAGGACATTATGAATGAGTATAGTCCAACACTTAATCTATGATCGACTGATTCAGGTCGTCGTATTCTACCTAAGACCTAAGGCTCAACTCAACAGGTAACAGAGCCTTCATTTGTGAAGCTCCATTATTCCATTATTCTTGTTATTCAAATCCAGTAGACTCAGCTACCAGGGATATTCTACAACTCACTTAAAAAACTATATTTTTCCCCTAGGTTTTAACACAGAATTGTACCCTACTCTGGTTATATCTATTTATTGTTTGATTTTTTAGATCTCCATGTGTGTACTATTTTATAGAACTCTGAGCTTTTTGTTTGGAAGTACCTATAAATAGCATGCATTATTATTTTATTATACACTAATCCAACAGCCCATTCATAAGCCTTTCAGGAAATGAGAGACCGTCACGGTTGTAAATAATTCCATTAAAAGGTGTTCATAGAAGTCATGTGAATTTGCCCTTAATCCTCCTTTAAAGACACACAGAAAGTGCAGGACTAAAATAAATGAGAACATTTAAATAAGAACTGAATTTGCATGACATTCTAAACATCAGTTAGACAATATGGGAAACTGAAGCAGACATTTAACTTCTCTGTGAATGTTACATGCATCATTAAATAACAAATCTTACAACAATTTTACATTTTTTTTACATCCACCAAAATAGGATTTCGGTCCCCAGTTCTGAAGACAAAAGTAAACTTGTTCATTTACATGAGTTCTGTTTCCACTGGGAGGGATTATATTTATAATTAACTTAAGAGGATTTGCAGAATTTAGTTTCTCTTTGACATGATAGAATGTTTTGTGTTGATCAATGGCAAAAAAAACAACAACAACTAAATACATCATGATTCCATGTTGTAACACGATACAGCGTGAAACGTCCAGGAGGGGAGGGGAGGTGAATACCTTCGATGGCCACTGTATGAGTCAACACAGATGCCAGAACATCTGCATTTGATTCCCTTTAATCTTCCAGTGCCTGTTTTTTATTATGTTCCCGCTTCACTCAAAAGGCAATGAGGGAGCGGAGCAGAATAAAAATGATGTTTTGGCCGTTTCTCTTGCTCTCAGGTGTCAGTATTCAGTGCATTTGCTCAAGTTCAAGAAAGGGTGAGGAATGACTCAGGCTTCCCTTTTGTTTCAGACTTGATTCCTTCACAGCAGCCAGCCCAAAGGGAGTGACTTGTTCTTGCTTCAGCTTCTGCAGAAATACCTTGGCAAATCGCTTGCTGCTGGGACACATTTGTGTGGCTTAATCGGATCTAGCACTCAGTGGCTTTACCGGATGGGGTTTGAAATGACTTTATCAGGACGACACAAACTCGGCTCGGAGGATTTGGAAGTAAAATTAAGGGAACTGGGCTCCCGTTCACTTAATCCGTCTTTTAACAGCAAGCTCCATCACAGCCAGGAAACAATGGTCACACACACTGTGGCTTTCCCAACAAAGCGGCTGCAATCCTTTTTCAAGAAGAGTGGCGAAACACAGACTAAATGAACCAAACAGCATATTAGACAGGGAGAATGACAAATTTAAACTCCTTTGGCAAGAAAAGGCCTGCTTCTTGCTTAATAAGAAGTTACCATTTTTTGGCCGCCAAGCATCTTGCAAAATGCAAGCTCCCACTCAGAAGAGCAGACGTTTGAGTCCTACTGGACCAGTCTAGACTTGATCACAGACCATCAGAGCAGTGCAGGCAGGACTCTCCAGGCTGTGGCCTATAATTGGCAAGCAGTGCTGTTGTTGGGTGGGCTTTAGCTGGCCAGAAAGTCTCTTTGACTTTTGGAACTTGTTGGGCACCTGAAAACTTGAGAGCCAGGTTGGGGAGAAACTCGCTACTCCTCTAGCTGGCTCTAATTGTCCTGTCAGACAGTGTAAAGCTCGCAATGGATCAAATGATGAGCAGCTCCAACAGTTATGTAGGCTGGAGGAGTAGGTCTTCTTTCCTGCTGTGTACAAGGACACATAACACTAGCAATTCCTTAGAGGTGGAGAATAGGTGGTATTTTTCATTTCAGCTATTAAAGGAGTTAAATCCAATCTTTACCCTCATTTATTACAATTAAAAAACACAAAATCAATGAAGTACCTTCCTACCTCTTCATTAAACAATGGTGTAAGTAGTGAATTATTACTTGGTTCAAGCAATTATTTTAAGGACTCCACCAGAGATTGTTTTGGAAATAAGAAAACCAGTGATAAATATTCAAAATCCGATATGCAGTTTTGACACAGCAGACGGGAGGTACAAGTTATGAAAGAATATGAACAGGCAGTGGAAGGCTTAAAGCAAAAAGCACATGCACTGTTCCCCAGTGATATCTCTTCAGCAATGATAAATAGATCTCATAGAGAAAGCCATTAGAATATTTAAAATCATTATCGGATAAACTTCATTAAAATCCCTGAAGTCATCAACGACTTAGTTCCTGTTAGACGTAGCGGTGTCTTTTTCCAAAAGTCTGCCTAATACAGACACCCACGCTTAATAAAGATGATCGATTGCTAACCAAACCAGGGGGACATGATCTAACGAGGGAGGGGAAAAAAAAATTAATGACGTCAAATGAAAGCTAAACAAAGATGACAGGAACAGCTTTACAGCAGGAAAGAAAAAACATCGGAGCACAAGAGGAGACCGCTCAAGAGACAGGCGACTGGGGGGGATGGGGACGGGGGGCTACCGTGACGGTGCCCTACTCTGCTGCGCGTCACACGAGAGCCGAAGAAATCGTATCCCAGACAGGCAGGCGGTGATGGAGCAGAGAAGCTTGTCAGCTCTGCGGCAGGGAGACAGGGAGGAGGGGGGGTCAGAGGGTCTGGTGTAAAACACTAGGCAGACAAGGTCCAGCACACCACCATTTATTAGTGCCACTTGGCATGCTGGTCATGTCTGCTCCCAGCTCCCAGCTGTACAGCCCGGCAGCCACTGACAGCCACTTCAGGATGCAAGGTTCGGCGCTGGATGTGGAGGTGGGGTGGGGGGGGTGACACAACAGCAGTGGAGCAGATATGGTGACGTGAGGGAGGAAACTCAGGGGGAGGTTGGAGGATATCTGAAAACACCCTCTGCTACGCATGATTTTCTCTCGAGTTGGAACTTGAGAGAAAATCGTTGAGACATAACTTCCAGTTTCCTTACAAAAGCCTCAGTGCAGCACTTTGAAAACCCGCGCGTCCATCATTACGGTTGGACATCTGAGCATTTAAAAAAAAAAAACTTAAATAATTGCTGTTTTTCTTTCCTGTTAAACTATTTTGTGCAACGCCGGCCTCCCCAGGCTCCCACCACCAAAACCACACAGCATCAGTCAATACTCCTCACCATTTCAAAGCTTTACATAACTGAGAAAACATCACCTGCCATTCTATGGATAGCTCTGGAGTTTTAAGGTTTGTGCAGAGAAATGTTTCTATGAATATGCACATGAACACAGGACAAACTTCCAGAGACAAGCCAAATTTAGAAGGCACAGTAACGGTTTGAGGATTTTAAGACGTCATGATGAAACATAATTAGCTCATTTACAACGGATCATTAGATTACAGTGTCCAGCAGGGACCTCACCCCTCTCTGAAGTGCATGAATTGAGTTCTTAGCAAACTAGTATAATTGTTATGTCTTCTGATGATTCTGAAAGGAAAGGTAAGCATATTCAGCCCTGTAGAACATTAATCCTATTCAGTCACCACAAAACAAAACTTGTTGCTCACAAAAGTCCCTGCTTCCGCAGTTCAGTGGAATTGGAAACATTTGTATTTCAATGCAAAAAATAGACCATAAGAAGGAATCTGGTTCCTGCAAAAGACGGAAGAAGAACAGTTCCACAGGTTCCAGTTTTATTTTTAACATTTCTGTGATGCAAATGAACCCCAAGCACTCTGACAGCTACCTGCCCCATCGTTCTCAAACTAAGATACATCAATACCCCAACAGGGATGGGTAAACAAATACTTTGCAACCAGATCTGAAATTATTCAAGCTTGTGTCCACACAGGCTTTCCAGCATAGCACAACAAGGCAGAAACACAATGTGATCCCTGGTGATTCTCCCTAGCTGTCAGCCCAAATGCGGCCGAACCTACATTTGCATGCCAGCTAATGTTCTGCATTTACTTTCCTCTTTTTCTATACATCATTTTTGACATCCTGGACACTCCCTTGGATCCATATTGTAAAAGCAGTGTCCGGTGGGATGGGATGAGAGGAGAGCACAGAGTGAAAGTTAAATTAAAACGTATGAACAGGACACGGAAGCATTCACTTGGATCTTTGCTGTGCGGAGTGCTTTTGCGATATAAGTCTTGCCATAGAGACGAGAGAGCGAGAGCAAAGGGAAAAATCAAGTGAGAAAAATCACCATTTAAGGGAACAAAAAAAGGGAAAGAAAATACTGAAAAGAAATGCAAGTATCTTGACCTTTCTGGAGTTACTGATGGGTACACACTTTAATCCACATCCATCTAGCTCTAAAGACTGCACTATCCTATTTAAGGAACTGCAGAGACAAAGAGAAAAAATATGAAAGCTATGGATTTCTTAGACACACACCTAAGATGCTGATGTAAGGGGTATTCAGACATTTCAAAATTCCTTTATATATAGTATATATACTGTATACACTGTATTTCCTAATTAGAAAACCAGTCACCTAGAACTTGAGGCTACAAGTCATCAATCATTAACTAGCCCTCCCTGAAACCTGCTCATCACAGCTTGACACCAGAGAGATCTGTACAGGCCAGGACTTGAACTCAACTCAGGACATGAAGTTTGAACAAGCATGTTCAATAGCAGAGCAGAACCAGGTAAAAGTTAGATACTGTGGATTAAATGGTAACTATTGGGTAGCACAAGCTACGAAGGTTTTAAACAAATTTACTATGGAAATCACACACCGATCCTGTGGCACTGCATATATTCCAAAACACAAAATGAGACCTGGTAACACAGATGTGCATAAGTGCAAAAACAAGTGTCCTGCAGAGCCTGATGCAGATGGTCACTGAGTAGGCCAATATTTACACCACCTTGCATGAGTCCAGCGAGATGCAGTTTAATACAGTGAGCAAATATAGCAAAGCACACCCTACCATAAGCAAAAGTGAACCTGCTCTCCCAGTGACTTTCAAAGAACAACTAAACCCTTTTGTCTTCCTTTATATTTATTACTGGTTACATATCTGCATAGTTCCCTGTTGCCAGTCGTTTCATTTACTGTTAGCTTGTTGCGTTACCCAAGTTCTTCTGCGGGACATAAACAAGCTCCGCTTCTAGCTACCTGACTGAGTGGAAAGACTTCATTATGCCCCACACAAACCTGACGGCTTAACACATATCTAATGGCCTTGTGCGACTTCAATTGCTGTCCCTTGTAGACTTCCTGGCAGACACCTTACAGGTTGGAAAGAGGCGTTCTGAAATACCTGAGACTAAGTTACCCTTACCTCACAAAGCCATCTTAAAATTCAGACAGGTACAGCAATTGCACAACTTGTTAAAAATACAAAAGAGTAAATTGAATGAAATAAGCTAAAACACTTCACAATTGTGAAACTAGACAAGAGAGCTAGATGCATTACAGCTACAGTACATTATTGTTATTATTGTTGGGGGATGTTAAATCATACTTATTGGTACACAACTGATTCAGCTAAGTGCAATGAAAGCATTTTTTTTTTACCTGTCGCTTTTTCGCAAAAGCACAGCAGATGTTTTTGGAAAAGGGGGAGACCTGAAAATGAGGGGTCACAGCAATGGGATCGTATGAAGGGATCGCTTACCGAGCTGTACAATGACACCTGGAAGATGCTTCCATCGCTGCCACCACAAAAGAGGGAATACTCGCAGGGGTCAAAGGTCACAGACATGATGCCCACATCAAACAGGACGGATAGCAGCATTTCACCGGAGGAGATTTCCCAGAGCTGAAGAGAGAGAAGTGGAAAACATGGTATGGAGTATGTGGTTATCACGCCTCACTAACGCCTTGTCAATCAAATATGTTAGGGAAATTGATTTATCTGCACTGTAAAAAATAATTTCACTCTAGGAAGAAAAGTTATCCATTCTCACGCCGAGCATAATTTAATCATAAAAGTAAATTCAGCAGACGGCAGATATCAAACCCATCATTTCGTGGACAGCATTCTTTCCATGTGCAACAAACAAACTGTGGTCTTAGCTACATATAACTCCAGCATATTCTTTTATTAATTTTTTTTACGTCTTTTTAAAAATCATGAGAAAGTATATTTGAAAATATTTGAAGTATTCATAAAATACCTGTGAACCGCAAATTATTTTATGGTGCACTTCCGTTATTGTGTTTTTTTTTTCCCCCAATGTGAGTAAAGAGAAATCAAAATAACAGAATAATGTGCTTGTAGACATTTAAAGAAACAAAAAAACACGACCCCTCAGTCCTGAAACACCCTCATGTTTCTGGTTTCTAAATGTATCATAATCACTAAAATGAAGGCTGAGATAGATTCCCATTTTAAATTTGAGAATAGCATCTTTAACTTTTCCTTTAAATGCAGACCTACATCCATTAAGAAAGATACAGGGACTATGCAGGTCATAGGTAAAGGCTATCAGTTCCTATTGGCTTAGGATATGTTTAAGGTAAAAAGATTCTATAGTAATTTTCATTTTAAGAAAACAGCCACAATCCCTCCCTTTTTTATAAGATGAAGTAATTCTCAATCTTAAAACACAGCACACATTAACAAGAAGAGAACTTTATCCTGACCTCCCTTCTCCTTCAACCATCACTATCTGTAACTGCTACCTCAGCTCTGAATAATTTATCTCCAGACTGACAGCTTGTAATTCATAACAGCTGATGGTATTGGACTCGACACAGAGTGCTGATGACAAATTTTATACAGAAGAATGTATAACCCGCTCCAGCTCCTTGCAGCAGACTTGAAGTGGCAGAAACGCTGGAAGAAGGAATGTTTCATGCCGCACGTGAAGACAGATATACAGGGACTGAAGAATGCTCAATGATGCTCACTCAATTTCTTTAAGTTGTTTAAACCTTGTACCCATCCTGTCTAGACTCTAGAACAGTCACCTTTCTCCCCAGCCCAAACTACTGTACGTTATTCTTCCGAAACCTGAAATAGGCCAAGGAAAATCAACCATCCTCAGCACTTAATCTTTGGACTTGTCTTTAATACAGACAGGCCCAGACAAGAAACTACAGATTCTCTCCCATGGCAGGTACTGCAATGAGGAATCTCTGCACTAACGAATGGGCCATGTATGTTAATGCAGGGTCTTCTACTTAACTGATAAGTAAACAAGGATCCTCCAGGATCAACTCAGAGCTAATCATCTGAGTTAACTTTGGAAGGGATTTAAAAGGCTTTTATGAATTAAACTAATATGTGCACACACACACACAAAACATGAGATGGTGCTGCCTGTGTACAGAAGAAGCATCTACATTAAAGAATGACATTGCAACACATGGTGTTCAGAGAAGGTGTTCAGTCCTCAGTCCTCTGCCCTCTTCTGCCAGATGCTTTTTTAGGAGCTTGCCAACAATCCTTGTATGAGATCCTACTTGATTACTTGGCAACAGTTTGCACAATTATTTCCACACGTCTATTAATAAAATCAAGAGACCTAATATCGTATAAACTGAAAAAGACAGATGCATCCACACATCTCCTTGTGTAAAAGTAATTGTCAGCTGACACCTGAGTTCCGATAGATATTGTCCCTGCGATTCCCATCTGGTTTTTCCACAATGATTCAATTTTAGATTGTTATAGGACAGGGGGCTTTCCGTTTTCTTTTTCAGAACCCAGCTCATACACCTGCAACTTTTATCTCACAGACACTGTGGAATAAATACACTCTGACAGTATAATAAGTACAATATGCGCTATCATTATGCATGTTTGTGTAAATTACAGATGGATAAAATGATCGTTAATGATGGGCTCATAGCGTGTCACAAATAGAAGCTGTTCTCAAATTGGGGTGATCACCGCTTGTTACTCATGGCTAAGCAAGCAAATCAGATTGATGAACTTCGCCGATTGGTTCACATCAGTAAAATGCAGGAGACCTTGGACAAGGTCACAGAGCCCAGTGTTACACAGGTATGAAATTCTTCCAACATTGGCCTGAAATTGTAGAAAAACAGTGGAACATTAAAGCAAGAACAAGTCAGGGAATGACTAAGAAGAATTAGAAATGCAACAAATAAACAAACCAATTACACACCCTAAACACGTTTGATATTGCACATCTGTCATTTTGTAAAATGGTGGAGCTCTTGAATTCTGCCGAGATGTAGTCCACCCCACTATGAAGCGAATCTGTAGTTGTCTGAAGCCAAAAAATACATTTTCAACTTTTAAAGAAAAGTAGTGAAACATGCATTCAGGCTCAGTATAAACCACCTCTGGTTGAATAAATAATTAGGTGTACATATTTAATAAAGAGGGACTGAGTTCAAAAGGCCCTGCACACATTAAATGTTTTCAAATCTACAAGAAATCTACATGAATTGGTACATGGCAGAAACGTATTCCCCAACTCTAAATGATTACTGCCTTCTTGCATATTTTTTATCTAGGGTATTAATATAATTTCATGGGACTGAGCATTTTTCTGGGCTTGAGAAAGGCAGTAAAGAAAACCGACATTCACTTCAGCAGAGAAGGAAAGAGATGCTTTCCCTTTTGTTTTTTTTTTACAGAGAACTTGGATTTATGGTCAGGGCAGCATTCATCTTCATGAATCCCAATAAGAACATTGCTTGTTTTGACGTTTAGTGAAGGGTATTCCTCTACAGGAATCTCCAGTGCATTCCTGAAAGCATTTTAGGCTTCTGGACTTGTCGAGGAAACTATCCCCAACAAAAACAGCCAGTAAGGTTCCTGAAGAGTATTTAATTAGGATAGTGTTGTCATCCATATGAAAACCTGTCACTCAGCAGCACTCAAATGCCTGATAATAACAAGGTCACGACCACTGCTGTGTGGACTTCACTGTGAACAGACCCTGCTCCCAGATGGGGCTACAGCTAAAAGTTAAAGAGTTTAGAGAAATAGAGGCAACCTCATTTCCCCTGTCTGATGAATTGCTTCATTATAAGACCACAGCTCTGTAGGTAAAGCACACAATTCCATCATGTGTTACATTTAGGACCAATCTATCAGAAAAAGAAAACAGACACAATGGGGTCATACACATTCTTCAGTCAGAAGTGTTTACACAAAAAAGCAGCTCAAGAACAAGAGATCTCGGATAAAGAAAAGAGAAATTAAATTTCCCCGCCAACTTAACAATTGGGGAAAGTGGCTTATAGTTTATGTGAAGCAAACGAAATAAAGTAGAGCTTGTTCAGCTGAGAACTGCTGAAAGTTAATGGACCGGTTAAACAACCACAATTTGGTTGCATACGAAGTGTAAACAATATCTTTTTTACTGCGACAAAGCTCAGAAGCTGTACCTTTGTGACGAACGCCAGTCGAATCCAGAGAAAAATATGAAATGCGAAGATTAAGGCTAGCATCAGGCAGCTTGTGAAGTGTGCCAGCCTGAGCACAGAGTGGTTTTTTGACACATTAATAAAATATTTGTTTGGAAGAGCAGCGAAGGATGAAAGCAGCCGAGCCCAGCAAGCAGGTGAAGAGATAGAAAGGCAGACAGGGTTGGAACAAGGAAGAGAGTCAGGATTTCCAGAAAACGAATACTGTTATGAACTTAACCATTAATCATCCCTGATTTGTTTTTCAAGTTTGGCCTTTAACTGTGTCGCAACAGCCCTTATATTCAAAAAGAACTCATTCTTGAGGTACAGCACAGAAGGGCCAGGGAGCCAGGTGCCGCTGTGTTTGAGTCTGCTCCATTTTGTGCAAAGCATTGTGCTGCAGCAATCCCCAGCACGGTTGTTCTCTTCAAATAGCTCCACCCTAAGCATTTCTTAAAGCTGCCCTTTTAAAAGGTTTTACGGGCGATGCCGTCACACACACACAAAAACAATAGCCCACTCCTCAGAGGCTCCATAGGCTAGTGTCTGCGAGCCAGCCAGGGATTATGCATCAAGGACACCCTGACACCCTATAACCCCTCTGGAAGAGCCAAAAACAAAGTGAAGTGTTAAGGTAACCGATAATGGAAATGCCCCACACCACCGACATTAAACACACAGCACTGCTCAGCTTTAAAGGGAAACACTGCAGGGATTAGCTTATCCTGAACTTCAGACCAACCGGGCGAATAGGCGAACATGCCTCCTTAAAGAATCTCCTCCTTTATCCAGCCGTTCATCCGTTTTCTCTTTTATCCAATATAAGTTCACGGGGGAGCCGGAGTGAATCTCAGCACGCCAGGGGCACAAGGCGTGCTACACCCTGGACAGGAGGCCAGACTCGTCCATCACACCGGCTCCTTCCACATGTGCCATTTCAATCTCCCCAGAGTTCATTTAGTCTGTAATCGCCTTGTTTCAGCTGTCGCATCCATCCCATCACAGGGCTGAGACCGTACCCTGCTCGGTATTTCAGCTCTACCTTCGCTCAGTTTTTTAGAGAAATCCCATTAAATCGGGGGGAGAGAGAGAGATACAAATTTCCAAGAGATCGTTTTCCCGACAGAGTTATCTCTCCACACACCCAAGCATCACATGGAGTAATAACCACTGCAGTGTTGCCTAATAATACGGAAAGGCCATAAAGTGGAAGAGATATGAGCCAGGATATCACAAGGAAAGCACTGGGTATCAATGCTGAAATTCCACCGCTGAGCTGTGGAACATCTCCACTATTCCTCCCCCACCCTGCTCCTAAACCTGCATGTACATTATACAAATAAAAATACTGTGCATTTTACAGGGCTTTTGAATGTACAAAATCCTAAGGTTGTCCAATTCAACTGCACTTCACCTCTTAAAGCACAAGTTCCAGGAGCATTGTGCTTATTTATTAGTGGTGGTGGAGGGGATCCCCATTACCTGTAAAGCGCTTTGAGTGGAGTGTCCAGAAAAGCGCTATATAAGTGTAAGCAATTATTATTATTATTTGATTAGATTTAAGTCCTTTAAAGCAGTATTGGTCACTCTGGAAACAGAAACTGGAAGGAGGATCGAGTATCCAATCCATCTCCACTTGAAAGCGAACAGCCGTACCCAGTAATACAATAACAAGGCAAACAAGGTAGCACACAGACGCCACAAAGACAGGTGGCCCGAGCTGAATTCGAACCCGGGACTCACCGCCACACAACTGTGCCTCTGCTGCAGCTGCACTATGGATTCAGACAGCACTTTTGTATGGGAGGAGGCCCGCTGACAGCTGGACCGTTGCTCCACCAGCAGGAGGGAGTTAGTGACGGGTGGAAACCTGCAGCTGCCTGTGAACATTCAACTAGCAGGGGAAGTTTAAGACTATGGGAAAGGGTGAGCCACATACTGTATGTGAGCCTCCTGTGCATTACTTGGTTAAACAAAGCATTAAGTTGAAAGGCTTCAACCATTAACACGAAATGTGGGCAAACTGTGCAATGCTTTGTCACTATTGTAAGCTTGTAATGCTTTCAGTTCTAAATGAGTTGTGTGGTCGACCTGCGAGTTCAGATCTCTGACATGCAATACATGAGCCTTAAAGCAAGTTTTTTATGATGCAGAGATGACAAATGTCTGTGACATGGGGAAAGATGCCCAATCCTCGTCCTGGAGGGCCAGTATGACATTCCAACTTCTCTTTTAACAAGTGAAATCGGCTGGTTACTGGTTCAACTGGACCACTTTAACAGCTTCTTCCCACTCCCCCAGTGCCAGTGCTTTAAAGAGACCTTGTAAACCTGCACACACACCTGCCTTCCAGGATCAGGACTGGACGCCCCTGCCCTAGATAAACGGTGTTGCTGGCTGTTTGCGGATGTGTCAGTTTTACTGAAACACTCAGATGCCCTCAAGCAACCGGAGTGTGTTTGTGCAGCATGATGCTCAACACCAAAGAAGATAAAGACACAGACTGTAGCAAAAGTCCAGGAGGTTTAATGCAAAGCACACAGATAAGTCGAAAAAAGGTGCTTCCAGCTATCGCCATCACTGTCCTTGAACTCGAGACTCTCACTGCAGCCCAGAGCCGTACCACTGAGTTACTAAACACACTTTTTTTCAGGGCTGTAACACAAAGGTAGTAAACACTTTATCCCCACACCTTAATGTAGAGGTACTAAATGCACCAGTGTCATAAAGCCAAGCTGTTGAACACACTGCAGCCCTGCAGTGTAACGCTGAACAAATTAAGGCAAAAGAAATCGAACTACCTGGCTACCGAGCACACTCACCGAGACCTCATTTCTGTGCTACTCCAGACCTGCTGTCTTTTTCAGTCCACCAAGTAAGGAAATGACCGGATACAGACTGCAAAAGGCTGAATGCGGGCTCAGTGCAAGGCAACCCCTCTTCCCTCAGAGCTATGGGTGCAGGGGAAACTGAGTCCCTAAAGAGAAAAGTCTCTCCCTCACGGAAGCAGTGTCAATCCAGGTCAGAGGAGGATACAACTGAAGGGTATACTGATAACATGCAATGTCCAACTCTTTGGTTGTTGATGCTTTCATACTTTCCTGGTATGACCGAGTCCCTCCTACTATGACCTTCCCTAGCCCATGTCAGATTGTTCCCACATCCCCTCCTTCCTTCTTTCCCAAGCTGAGTGCTTTTTACAACCTTTTAAAAATTATTGATTATGTGGCTCACGTTATACGGAATTTATCAAGGCACAGAGCCGTGCAGCATTAGGAGGAGACCTCTGCATTCCCTCCATTTCATTTCATTAGAAGCCAGCCTTCTTTCTTCTCTCTAGTGAACTGGAAGTTTATGATTCATTAAAATGGTGAAAATCTCATTGAACTCCAAACAAACATTACACAAGAAGAATTCATTCTTTCTATTTTAATTTGCCTTCATGGAAATAAAGCACGTTCTGGATGCTGTTTCTGTGGAGGCAAAACTTGCAGTCTCAAAAAAAAAAAGGAAAAACATCCATCCTCCAAAATGTCCCATCTCTGATTAACTGAGTGATCCTGAAAACCAAAAAGCAGATTTTCCAACCAGCAGACAGCTGCAGTGTTTCGTCTCTGCCACAGAATAACCCTGACAATGCAGTAAAACACAGTAAAACTTAGGGGCCTTTCCCACCAAAACTGGCAGTCCTGAGCAAAACAGTTTGCTGCTGTGACATCCAAGTCAACTGTGGTCAATGTCTCAGATTCAATCCAGCAGCACCCAGACAACATTACTGATCCCACATTCCCAGTGGTGACATTAGCCAGTTATTCCACAAGAAAAGAATACATAAAATGCACTTATGTACTTTACATAAAAGAATACTTAATGTTACATAAAATAAGTCTGGAAATAACATATACAGTACATCTGATGTTAGGGGCACAACATATGCTACTCGTATGAGCCTCATCTCCCAGTATTATAAAAAGCTCTACAATGTTGAGCTGAAAAGTCTCAACCTTTCATGTGAAAATCAGTCCAGTCTATTTGACATACTGGACAGTTTGACATACAAAAGTATTCACCCCCCTTGGCTTTATTCTCTTATATTGTGTTACAGTATGGAACTATGTGGATTTAGATGGTATTTTTGCCACTGATCAACACAATACAAAATTCTATTAATTATAAATATACATATATAGGCTCAAAGGTTTCTCCATGCAATTTACTGCTCTTGTACTTCAACTGAAATTGGAATGTTTTTTAGGAGACTCATTATTTCACTACATAAACTACAGCATCACTCACTATTTCTTTTGGAATAAAGAAAAAAAATGAAAAAACATTTTACTCTCCAGGTGATCTAGCAAAAAGGAAAGAGTCAGAAAAGAGTTTTTGATGACATACCAATGTAAAAAAAACACACACAGAAGTTAAAAATTACACTTCTAAATCGTGGTAAAGTTAAAGTAGCTGCTTCCGAAAGCAATTGTTGATTCAGATGACGCACCTTAATGAAAAACGCCTTGGGATCTTTATTCAGATAAAAGGTGCTATATAAATATAAATTCATTCATATATTCTCTTGCGAACCAAGGGAGAAGATGCATTTAAGCTCCCTCACTTTGATCTCTGTTAAAGCTGCAGTCTGACTGAAGCCTGAAGTGCCTTTCAAGTTCTTTCTGGGTTTGGCACAGTTTGCTGGGGGCTGATTCTTCAAATTAGAGAAGGATAATCTACCTTAAATTTCACATGCAATATCACCTTCTCTTTAAAACACCTCTAAAAACATTTTATAAAACAAAAGGTTTTGAGCATTGAACACCCTCAAAAACTCAAGCTTTTTCCCACACTGGCCCGGCCTTTTATACAGTATAAAAATCTGCAAACTACGGAACAAAGCTTGAGCAAAGAATTGGGAGTCCAAACTCCGTAAGAGAACCCAGAGCGGTTATAGAGCAGCCCTTAAATATCCTGAACCCCCCCCACAGGGTTCCAGTTTCGGCATGAAACATGGGGATGAATACATCTAGTGACCTGCAGCAGTGTGCAGGGTGGGAGAAAAGGAGGCCTGCGCCCTGCAGATCAGTAATGGCAGGAGGCAGGGCATGACTGCAGCTCAGAAACCACAGAAATGAGCTCCCTCTCACACTAGGAGGAAGGGCAGCAGTGTTGGTCCTTGCAGTTATAAAACCTTCAAAAGGACAGCAAGAGCTTGAACCAGAGCAACTCCAGGTTTATCTCAGCTGCTTGAAATGTAATTAAAACTGAGACAGTGGAGGGGAAAAAAAAGCACCTCTCATGCATCTCGTGAGCGTATCCCCAGAGTCACTAGAAAAACAGAAAAATCATAATCTGACACATACATACACCTGACACAGCACAGCCACAACCTAGAGGAGGTCTTCTGAACTGCGGCTGGATGGGAGCCCGAGTTCCGATTCTGGAATCTCCCATCCTGGCTTCTGAAGAGCAGTCGGAGAAGATTTACGGTGGGTAATTTACGGTTAAAACGACTATTCAGTAAATTTATGGTTTGATGGATTTGTTTTTACCACTGCGAACGCTATTCCTGCACGTTAAAATTCAGTCCAAGACTGTTCTAGAAGATAAAGAGACCGACAAGCGGAGAAATCGATGCGCACTCGTAAATTCATTCCTAAGATTATGGCGTATACGTGGCTTAACATCCACAACAGGAACAATCGGCACTTTGCAGGAGCAGCGTGCGGACCAGTACCTGATACCCATGTAACCCTAAGTTCAGACCCACCTTCACAGTCTGGTCCAGGGATGCCGTGGCCACTCGTGCCTGGGGTCCCATCAGGCCGCAGTGGATGTCCGTGATGGGAAGGGAGTGCTGTGCCCAAACGTGTCGTGGTTCCGGGGTCCGCAGTGGATCCACTTGCACCACGCTGAGAAACACACATTGAAGACATTCAGCTAAAACAATCCAGCTCTCAAGCAGGCAGCTGCGTCGGCAGGCGCGGCCTACAGAGGAACAAAAAGGTTTATCCCCCTCTGAAAAGAAAGACAACGTTTCGGCTGTAGAGCCTCCTTCGCGTCAGCATTCACGCCCGACGAAGGCTCCACAGCCGAAACGTTGTCTTTCTTTTCTTCTCTTTTCGGCGTGGAATAAATCTTTAATTGTTCCTAAAACAATACGCAAGACAAGCTTTATTTATATTCACTGATTTTTTTTAAACCCCTTCCTGCCAAGGCAGCCTGGAGACTTGTACCAGGCTCAATACACAGCAACAGGGTCAAAGAGCACAACACTCTTTAGTCACAAACCAGACAATAGTCGACTCAAAGAAGACATGTTCTTAACCCTGCAGACTCACCGCGTCTTCTAGTTTAAATTCCAGTTAACTTCTCAGCTGCTGAACTCTTTCAGTGAGGTAATGATTTGTTGAGGAGCGATATTTTACACCATTCTCTTCAAACAGACAGAGAGAGATGAGTTAAGGATTCCGTTCAAGAACAGAATGCAGCTGTAATGCAAAGGAACTCCAGCAGCCACAGCTGATTTTTGTGTTTTGTAACATTTGACTAATGAACGAATAACTGAAGCAGGACATGTGCCACGCTGGAGTGATCGCCCATGAAGACAGGATGTATTTTTACATCTTCTACATCCTAAGTAACGTTGTCCTAAATTTATAACAAAATGCTTTAATGCTCTTTCTTGAAAGCTGCATTTTTTTTTGCAACTCAGTCATTTTCCTCTTATTTTTTTTCATCCCATCAGTTCTGCAAAGCAGGCCTGCAGTGCGATCAAGGGGGTAGATGCACAGCTTACAGACCAAGAATATCTTGGAGTATAGGTGGAGCTTGCACGCCTTCGAGTGAGCTCTTACAGCTCACACCGAGAGCTTTCTGAGCGACTGGCTGGATTCAGGGACTGGAAGAGATGAGCTTCAGATGACACAGCACCGCTGTGCTCATTTTCTCCTATCAAAGTACAAGAGGCACGTGAAGCAGGCCTATTGAGAAGAGATAAGGCCTATCTATGCAGCATGGGCTGTGACTCATTCTGGAGCTTTGATGAATGGGCCCGTCAATGCACAGAGCCGCTCCCTTCAGTACCTTATTTATATACAGTGCAAGTATAGATATGAAGCCATTTCCAGCTACAGCAATGAGGAAAAGCACCACACACCAAGTGTATGCCTTTAAATATTATATACTGAAAAGTCTTTCTAAGAGTCAAATGAACTCTGCATGTCATAGGAAAATCAGAGTCTGTAAAACTGTAACCTTGTTACAATATGAAGGGAATCTAAATGCATAAAGCACTCCCTGCAGGGGTATAACAAAGCCAAGTAATGCACAGCAAGCTCAAGACCTATGATACCATACAATGTTGTCTCCTCGACTATAAGGAGCTTGGCCAAAGAAAAGTTGTCTTTCTTTTACAAAAGATCCTCCAGAATGGTTTATGCATTTGTTGCCTCTGTTTTCATGCAAAGTCCAGTTACAGTTTGATTAATTGAATTTCTAGAAGCCACTTGTAACACAAAATCATTTTCTTGAAGCCATTATTTCAAAAGCCAGAGATACATTAATTGCAAAGTAAGCTGTCTTGCTATCGTATTCAATTGAATTATTCAAAAACAAATGAATAACGCTCTCTCCGAGTTTTAATTCTCATGTGCTTTAAATGGATGTATTAAAAAAAAAGGTTTATCTCATTACAAAATTCTTGGTTTGTAAACTAATGTAATTCCGTGAAAACTGAAGATTTGGTCCTATGATTCAGTACAAAGATGGTGAATATTCACGATAATGATGATTTTTAGCATAAATATTTTTTAACTATTTTGCACTAGAACATTTGAGTCTTAGAAAAGATTACCTTGCACGTGCTAATGCTTAATTAACATATACAGAATGCTCAAGAACTTAAAGAGTGGCAGGTGAGCAAAAATAATGAACTTGTAACAATTAATAATGGCATAAGACATTTGACTGCAGGCAAAAAATGTAAATTCTTAAAGATCACTCTTATGTAATACTAGTGCAATGTAAGTTTATTAGAACCCTTGGCTAAAGATGTTTAAGGAATAACTGTTAAGGCTAGGCTTGTTCAAACAAATTAAATTGGATCTAAAATTGATTTTAGTTTTAAAAAAGTTGATATTTTTTGGAGCCAGTCAAGAAAAGCAGAGCTGTTCAGCCTGATAGAATATTAAAAATTAAAACCAATTTGAATCCCGATCTTTATTTATAACCTGATCAATACTCATGTCCTGTAACTTGTGCAAAAGTCTTCAGAATGCAATACGTGGAATGAAATCAATAATATTGATCCTTAGAAATTTGATAACACCTACATTTTAATGGAACAGCATATTAATTCCCACTTAAACTGTAATATGAATTCTTCAAAGTTTTGTGCTAATTTCTGAAGACTGAGACTATGGCATGCTATCGTAGGCGATTCCAGGCAGAACTCTGAAAAAACTCCTGAACATGAAGAGGAGAAATACCAGAGAGTAAGCAAAGTAATACTGCACAGTGATCTAAGCCTTATTGAAACGATACACCAAAGGTTATGTGCAACTGTTATATTCCCCACTTACTTTGCTTCAATACTGAGACGAAATATGAGATACGATAGCTGTATAATGTGAACATCACCTATACTTTTACTTTAAATATTGCAAAGTGATAACTTGCGTATTATATAAAGAGTTTCAGAATAGTGGGCGAGCTAAAGGCATGCATAAAATGTCAAACCAATGATTTTTTCCCCAAGTAACTTCGGAAATATCTTACTTTATATAACAATGCTTCACAATAATTTCAATAAAATGATCAATCGCAGCTCATGCTCTCGGCTTATTATCGCACTTGACATTCTTGGGGGAAGTACGTCTTCACGCTCCCCCTGCCGGAACCTGGCTCTTGTCATATTGAGCCGCCCACCCAGAAAGCATGCTGCCCCGCTGTCTGTTTAATTGATGGCCCGCTGCAGCTCTGGCAGGGCCCCAGAGAGACAGGAGAGGTTGCTGCTGGAAGCTTTGCCCAGCTGGCAGGGTGGCAACTCTCAGCCCCATTCTGTCATGGTACGCAACATGGCAGGGACACAGTCTGGGCTGATGGAAGCTCAGGACTGTCCTCTTCAAGCACCACAGCATTGTTAAAGACGGACCACAGACGCAGCCTTGCCCTCAAGAACTGTGGGCTCAACAAAGAGCCTATACAGAAGCACAACACCCCCCGTTTCTCAATGGCACAAGAACTCAAAAGAAACCCGAGATCTGCATCTGGTAGCTGGGTCACCCTTTGACAAACCAGTCCAAGACGTTTGGATGCGAAACCCTACCTCTTCCCTTTTACACCACATGCCCTTAGGAGCTCCTTCAAGCCAAAAAGACAAAAAGGACTTTTTTTTTCCAGGCTTATCCGATAAAGGGATGAAGGAAAACATAAGTCAAAACGACACTGGAGGGCACCCTGCCTTGTGTCTGTTTCTGGCTCTTTGAATTGGAAGACATGATTCGAAAACAGATGGATGGATATTGGACTGTAATGCAGTTTTTGGTAAGGTCATTGTATTTCAATTGAACATTTGCTGTGCACACTTCGAACAAATTGCTAAACATGTCGATATTCCTACAGAAAGTGCACATCACAGTAGGAAATTGTCATTTTATTCAGTTTCATCATCCTGAGATCTTTCCTTAGTCTCCTGGCTCTCTTGAACTCCAGCCCTCAACTTGCATTACAGTATCTGATCAGTGCAGAGGATTACGGAGGACCTTGGTATTCTTCACAGATGGAAGATGATATAAAAATCAAACCGATTCAAATGTTAATTCATTTAGACTCTGCCTTGTGCACTTCACACTCTATTTGTCCTCATACTGTTGACAGAAGGTCAGAGAAAAACTGCTATTGTATTTCCCACTTGGTTGGAGGAATTTCAGGAATGTGTAGTACCAGACAGAAGATGTTTTATTTTTTAAACTATCATTCTTTTATCCGGATTTCTCAAGATTGTCCTCTTCTCTCGAGTCCGCCCTCTACTAATGTGCCAGGACACTAACATAGGAAGACACCCAGATGTCTATAGAAAGGAACAGAGCCTGTGAGATTTCAGGAAAGATAGAAAGCAATACAAAGTACTTGTGTTCAATACAACTCTATAAACGAAAAAAAACTATCTACACGTAGTACGTTTGCACTCTTGATTTACCGACGCCTTAATCCCAGATTTCATCTCCTGAATTCTACAGATCAGGCTCAAAGCACCTTGAATCTTCATAGTTGATTCCAAATGCAATTTTCAAAGAACACCAAAGTTCGCCTGTCTGAGAAGACCCCAGTGCACATGGCACAAGAAATCCAGCCTGTAAAACTTTGTTTCCAGAATGGCAAAAAAAAAAAACAGATGCCGGATTTGGCTTTAAATTCAAAAGAACTGCCATCTTAACAATCTGCTGAACACGCTGTGCATGCAGACCCAACTTTCTCTGGAAACGCTTTTTTTTTAAAAACCTTATTTTTTGTTCTTGCTTCTAGCACCTAACTAAATAAAATGCGAGTTATAAACCACAAAGGAAGACAGAAATAACAATGCATGTATAGAATGTGTGAGTAAGTAGATTTTGTTCATTTAAGTCCAACGCATTGTTTTATGCCAAAAAAACAGGCACTAGGGATTACAGTGAAAGAAGACCTGCTGCTTGAAATTTAAAGCAAGAAAGAGGTTGAAGAAACTCTTGGAGATGGAGAGGCATAACTGGAATGGCTGAAGGGTTTTGCTCCACACACCACTGAAGCAGAATAAAAGATGCAGATTTTCTTCCTTTCAAAGTGGCACTGAATCAGAGTAGGAGTGAATTATTTATTCCAATTTTATGGCAATACTGTGTGCTTCCTTTTCATTATTACTTAATGACTGTCCTCTTACTTATAACATACTTAGTTCCTCAAATCACTCAGTGTTAATGGTGTTGTATCAGGCTTGCAAAAACTTACTGATATCTAGGTTTATTGGCGTCTTGAATTCTCAAAGGAGAGTTTAAATCAAGGAGATGTTTATACCCAGTATTGCATCCAGTTAACTCCCCATACTATTTTTAATTACTTGGTTCTTATCCTATTATGTAGATTTTTTGCTTTGTTGTTTCTTCTCTTCCTTGCTATAGTAACTTAACTCTTTCAACAAAAACAGGTCCTGGAAAGGAAATTGTGCACTGAATTTGCACAGAGGGACTTTCAAAGCTTAGCTGTAGCTTCAAACAATGTTCAAATATGAAAAAGGGGGTGAGAACATGTTTATGAAAGCTAGGTTTAATATATTGGGATCCTCAACTCATCAATAAACTGAAATCCAAATATTCCAGCCATCTTCAAACAGTAGTGTTTCTTACTGCTTTTATGATGGATCAGGGACTTCCAACAACAGATCTAACTCATTATGTCACAGAGGTGTAGCACAACCATCTCTTCAGTGAGATTGTAGGACAAGCCACTCATCCATGCTGTGGCAGGCAATACCACAGATTCTATGAAGAAATGACTGGATGAGATTTTCAGATTACTTAGCTACTAGTAACCAAATGAGCACACTGGCCAAGCAGCTTCCTCATTTTTTCTTTAGATAGATAAAGACTTTATTGATCCCGAAGGGAAACTGATTGTAACTGTTTAGTAATTAGTTCAGTTGTGCATCTAAGGTTGGGTATCATTAGTGCAACTTCTCTACTGCAGTTCAGCTCTTGTGCATCTAACAAGCAGAACTGCAGTAGAGAAGAATGGCTGAAGTTCGATTACACTGACGTACAGTATTCTTCTTAATTTCCCTGCCCTTTTCTCCTCCACATAATCAGCTATGAGGATTCCTAATAAGAGGCCATTTATTCCTGCCTGAATGAACCAATTATGCCAACAAATGGTAGCTGTAATGAAAATAAATAGAAAAACACCCCTAAAGGAAATGCAATAAGAAGGTAATACCTAACCTGCAGCTGATACACACTTCTCTTCACATTTTTTTAACCAAGAATCCTATTTAAAATCATAATGCAAGCCTACTTTAGGGCACCCGAAGTCTGTTTCTCTTTCAGAAACTACAGTAATAGTTACCTACTGTCTCTCCAGACCTCAGGACTCCAGAGAAGAGACATGGTGCAGGCTCAAGGCTGCAAATTAACTGATTTTAATCAACACTTATAACAGTCTGAAGCAAGCCTCCTTAAAAAATTGATGTCATGTCATTCCTGGGAGGCTGGCAGCCGTCACTCAAAGCTTACAATAGAGGTCGCTGTATTGATCTTGGCAAAAACTTGAAAGTACAAAAGTAAATAAAACTTAAATCATTAATAGAGAAGAGTCTCATGTGTCCTGCATGACGGAACAAAGGTTTCAAACAAGTAATAATCTGATGGTGGTTACTGGTGTTGCGTTTATAAAGTTTCTTTGCTCCAAAATAACTTCACATGTATAGGTGAGGACCATTGCACCCAGCAGTGAAGTGTAGCACCCACCTAGGCGACAGCCAGCAGCCCCAGCGCACCTCATGTAATTGAGAGAAATGAGAAATTACTACACTAACTGAATTAAGGGGGAACTTTATTTAGGCCAGGTTTTGCAAGGCCAAGGTGGAATTTAACCAGAACACCCATTAATGTAAATCTAAATCTTTAATGATTAAGTAGCCATGACCTCTGTTCAGTGTCTTATCCGAAAGACAGCACCTCCTCCAGCACTGTGGTTCCGGCCACCATACTCGGGCTTTTTGGTTTGGAATTTCTGGTGCAGAGGAAAGAGCAACACCTGCTGGTCCACCACTCAGAACAGCAACCTGGTTTTCCTTAGGAGCCTGGGATGGGAGTATTTACTCAGTCCAGCTTTGCTTCGTTCTTGAAATCTGATGAGATACACTGTGTTAAACATTCATATTCACAGGGACATTTACTGATCCAGGCAACGAAATACAGTCCATAATACAGCCTCTACATTTGGAGGATAGAGGGTCACCAAGCTCTATAAAAGCATTAAAAGCCAGTATCGTACTCAGTGAATTTCTCTAGACAGGTAAAAAAAACAAAACAAACAGCAATAGTTTAATAATTTTCAATGTATTTTGAGGAAATATAAAGTCAGAATATATTCAATATATAATTCTGTTTGTGTATGTGTTGCTTTTGCATTTACATTTTACAATGTGAAAACCCTGACTCTTCATAGGGTGCCAAGTGGATTGTCATCTAATGTGCAGAACCAAGGGTTATTTAGCAAACGTGCAGAAAATAATGCAGCTGAAGGACAGTGCAAACTATATATAAAATAGACATAAACAGTTTACAAAAATCTAAATCAGATCTCTAAACTTTCTTTTGCTGTTATGTCTTTTACTCTATTCTTTAATGATTATTTCCAGAATGGTGCTGTCAAAACATGCACAGCATTCACAAAGGTTAATCAAGCTGGGCTCTGGGTCATCCTTTGAGGAACTGATGGACAAGTCAGACTGACTAAGAGTGAGCTGCAGAGATTCCACCTCCTTCAGGTCTCTTTCACTGGTAAATTTCCATTCCTCTCTCACATTCTCACGACACCAGCATGTGCGTCTCTGTCAAAGTCACACACTGCCACCTGCTGGCAGACCCTTCGCTTTCCTGATTTTCAATGTCATTTCTCAAACCGTAGGACAGAAACTGAAGCTTGAAACAACAAAAGCACAGCTTCGGTCTTGCAGCACAGTCGATTGTCACCTGCAGAGCTCTGGATCTCAGTTTACTGTGGTACAAGTGATAAAAATCAATCCAATTCAGAAGTAGATTTACGCAATACTCCCTCAGGAACTTTACAGAGGTCTGGAGGGATGGGCAGAAGCCGACATGAATATACTACTTCAGAATCCAAGCCAAACTCATTTCTTTAATGGCTACAGCGTGGATGAAGTGGGAAGGCCTTGCATTTGTTACTGAGGACTCGATCCGAGAAAAGTCCTTCTGCGTCACACGTCCCTCGAATCCATCCATCCATTTTCCAACTGCTTTTACTTATTCGGGAAATCGGTTTCCAAGACAAGGGAAAGCCGGAGCCTCAGCATGCAATAGGCGGGTTACACCCTGGCTGGGATGCTAGTGCATTGCAGGGTGCATACAGACACACTCACACCAGGGTCAGATTTCCCAGAAGCCAGTTAACGTGCAATAATTTGGACTATGGGAGGAATCCAGAGCACCCAGTGGAAACCCACGCAGACCCAGGGAGAACATACAAACTCCATGCAGGCAGTACCTCAGATCTAGAATTGGACCCAGGACCCCAGCGCTGTGGAGCAGTAATGCTAACCCCTGTAGCACTGAGCCACTCCTTACTTGCATTCATCCACCTTTTAACCACTTATTCCAATTCAGGGTAGAGCCTATCCCAGCAAGCGACAGAAGTAAAGCAGGATACACACTGGCCGGGACGCCAGTCCATCACAAGGCATACACAGACACATTCATGAGCACGTTCACACCTGTGTTCCTAGAGGCCAATTGCCCTACAAGTATTTGGAGTGTGGGAGGAAACTAGGGCACCTAGAGAAAACCCATGCGAACATTACAAACTCCACACAGGGAGAACCCCAGGTCTGGAACTGAACCCAGGGCCCCAGCGCCGCGAGGCAGCTAAGTTAACCACTGTGCTGCTATGCCGCCCTCAAACCTCACTTATCACTCCTAAAAAGTCGGTTGTGTTGGGGTTCCACGACAGGGATCCTGTATTCTTGGGACATGCAATGACTGTTACACAGGAAGGAAACAGCCTGTCTGGCAAAACTGGTAGAACACACAAGAACTCCAGTGTAGTTTCTAGCTACCAGGCATTGTAACAGTATATTAGTCAAGATGTATACCAACACAATTCTGTACGTTCTGCTCTGTAGACGTAGCTTTTCCTCTGAAATGTGTCTGGTTAGTTCTGTCCCCCAGTCAGATCTGAAAATCTGAATCTCTGCAAAGAAAGCAGACCCTTTGCTCTTCTACTATACAGGAGCCACAGTACAGTTAGAAGTCAGTGCCTTTACTTGTAAGCCAGAGATGCGTCATTAAGTCTTCAAGTTTCTGATTCAGGCACTCACACTGCGCTGACAGGAGTCTTTTAGGAAACACCCAGGAGGCAGTGGAGGACACAGAACACAAGCTAGCGTCCAAAGAAAAACAGCGAGCAATGAGAGGAGTCCCTGTGATGATGAATAAGTTAAAGCAATTCGCACTGAAATCAAAACAGGCCTGAAGACCAGCATCTGGGCTCGGTTTAATTTCAATCATTATTAGAAAACATTTCCAGGAGATCAGAGGTCTAGCTTTTACTTATTAAAATCCTGAGGGTTGTAATTTAAATTACAAATAGGTTTTTGGAGTTCAGCAAAGAGCAGAATTTTTATCATAACTTCATGAGCAGGCAAGCGCAAAATTAGAAAGTATAAAGATTCACCAATGAGACAGTAGCAATACCTCCTGTTCTAAACCCATATTAAAACATCACTTATCTAGGACTTAGGTGCTAGGACAGTACTGTACATTTAATACTTGTTTAAGAGCATTTCAGAGACCCATTATGCCTCATGTACTCAACCACAGGCTTTCATTCTCTCAATTATGTCTACAGTAATTTGAAATGGATTTGCAAGCAAAATGTAAAATATTGGCCCGATTCATTTAAAGACTTAAATATAAAGTGTTAATTTTGCTTTTCACGCTGTTGAATCCAGTAGCTTTACAATGACTCCTGACTATTTCCTCATAATGTGCTTTCAGAAGTATGTTAAAATAAATGGTGCAAGGAACAGCAAAAGCAAATAACCTAAGCAAAGACAAAAACAGCGAAAAGACTAAGAGGACAGAAAAAGTAAGAAGAACAAAATGGTGTAAAAGGATTAAAGATTAAGATGGGCAGACAAAATCTGGGCTCACAAATGTTTGTCCTTATCAACTGGGACAACTGACAGTTATCTTAACACGTATACAA